TTGTGTTTTGCATTAGGAACATATTTCTTTTCAGGTGGGGAGGGAGAATAGAACTCCTTAGCATCAGAGCATGGAACAGATTTCTTTTCAGGTGGGGAGTGGGAGTAGAACTCCTTAGCATCAGAGCATGTTAATAATAATATAGGAAATACTAATGCTCTGATAGTCATTTCAAAAAATCCTTTCTTAGTGAGCTCCTAGAAGTCAAGAGGAAAATACGTGGCAAATTTCAAGTTTGTAGGCTTTACAGTTCTGAAGATTTCGTGATTACGGCGTGAGTGGTTTTCGCTTTTATATATATAGATAAAGAAGTTTGTTTATAATGAATCCTGCTGAATTATTAAGTTGTGTGCTGGTTGGATTGCTGCAAATTCTAATAAAAACAATCTGACAATTCTGTAATTGACAATTGACAAAATTCTGATAAAGAAAGGTCAGAAGCAAGGATCTTATCATTAATACTTAATATAATGATCTTGTTGAGTTTCTTTCACAAAGATGCTAAAAATGTACAGGACCAGCCATTACTTCAATAGCTATCAATGGATATTCTTCATATTAAATAACATGTTAACACTATTCTACTACATAATCTTCATAAATGAAACATACAGATTTCTTGCCTTTGAAGGTGAAATTTTTTTTCAATTACAAAAATAAACAAAAAGATGTCGCTTTCAAAAATTTTCTGTAACCAAGAATGAACACAGTGATACATATATGTAATTTTGATCCCAGTCTGAAAATATTTTGGTCCTTTTAATTTAATAGAAACTAGAATGACCTTTGGAAAGAATAATTTGTTTGTTTGGAAAGAATAATCTTGATTGTTCTGATTACAATTATTATAATTATTGTTCTACATATAGAACATTTGTTTGGTGTTTTTTTTTGCTAAATTATCCAACAGTCAAATAATAACTGATTCAAAGCAGATTTTTAAAAAAGTTAGAAAAATATATTAAAACACTATATAACATCCCGGATACCTTAAAGGATATTCTAAGAACATCTAGAGAACCTCTAGAATCAGAAGATGAAGACAGATTAACATTCCAATCATTACCAAATCAGGAAGTTATAGGAATTTATCGAATATCCACTGAAATATGGCAAGAAGAAACAAAGAATCAATCAATGTTCTAGCAAAGCTAGGCAACAAATTTGGAGAATGACACCACAGCAAACTGGCAGAGGTAAATCTACATTCCAATATATTAAAAAAAATAAGACTTAACAGGGAATGCAAACCATCTTGCAATCGTCTTAATTCACATGCTACCAAATAATGCTTGGATCATCCAACACAGATTAAATTCCTTCATGGAAAAAAAAAGATGCTAGATGTTCAGGCTTTAGAAAATGCTGAAGAACACAAGACATCATTGGTGATGCATGCTAAAAAATCAAGAAAGCCAAGAATACTAAATACAAACCAATATGTGCTCCCTTGATTATAGAAAGGCCTTCAATTGTGTCAATCAACTGGAAGATTAGTGTGGTTTTAAAACTGAAAGAAACATCAGTCACCAGTGCTATGCTGATAACACTATCCTGAGAGCTGAAAATAAAATGGATCTACAAACTCTAGAGTCAGGTGGTCTATTAAAAATGGATCTTAAATTAAATATAGATATGACCAACTAATGATAAAAGGATAACAATCACCTTTAATTTATAAAGAAGATACTGAAGTAGTAGGTATTCTGTCTTTTAGGATCATAATCATAATTAAAGGAACCAGTCAGTAATACACTTCATATTAGCACTTGGTACACCAACCATGAAGGCCTTGGAAAAGATATTTAAATGTTGTATCTACAGCTACAAAGATCAGAACTGTATTACCTGTGACACTTTATAAAAGTGAGAGTGTTGACACTTTTGAAGTTTGGTGTTGAAGAAGATTCCAAAGGATACCATGGACAGCCAAGGAAACAACCTGATGGATCATTGAACAAATCAACTCAGTGTTCTCACCTGAGGCACAAATGATCAGGCTCAAGTTATCCCATTTCAGACACAATGTTCTAGAAAAGTCTCTAATGCTGGGAAAGGTGGAAGAAAAGAGACCAGCAGCAAAATGGATGAGCTTACAGTGGTGATGAATGCACTGTTGGGACCCTTGAAGGAACACATTAGGGTTAGATCATTATGGAGAATATCTACCTATACCAGGGGTAAGCAATTAATTTTTCCAGGGGTCCACCTGAAAAAACTGGGACTGTTATGGGAATGAAAACAGCATATTATAATAAAGGTGCATAGGCATGTACTTACATAATATGTAAATTGAAAAAAACTATTGCAGTCACCTTCAGAATAAAAGCAATGTTATATTGCTTTTATTGTATAGCGTGCATGGCAACACTTACTTACATTTTATTTCTGATTGGCCTTATGGGCTGGATAGGGACAAGCAAAAGGCTGAATATGGCCTGGGGTCAGTGGTGAGATTCTGCCGGTTCTAGGGGGTTCGGCTGAACCCTTTGTTAAATTGCTGGCTCGCCCCGCCCCTTGCCCCGCCCCTCCGCACCACTATTTATTGGCAATAAATAGTGGTGGGCGAGGGGCAGCTGAGCCAGCAATTTAACAAAGGGTTCGGTGTTTTTTTGTAATTTTATTAGCCCGCGGAGCTTCAGCATAAGCTAATTAGCCCTTGCTTAGATCAGCTCCCGAGTCTCAGCTGATTTGCTCTCAGCTGTTTTGCGCAGGGCTCTGCTGCTTGCTTGCAAAGAGTGCTGATTTTTTTCCCCTAGCTATACTGAAAAACGAAACAGAAAGTAAAGCAGGCTGTTGGCTATGCATGTTGGAAAATTAGGCAGGCAAATTTCTTTTCTTTTTCCTCACCAAAAAAGGTAGGTGCAAACAATGGGAAATTTAGGGCAAAAGAGGAGAGTTCAAGATTTTAAAAGACAAAAGAAAAAAAGCTCTATTTAACTAGGGAATTGTAATAATTGAGATACTATTAATTGTATATTGTGTTGAAAGCAGAAATGGTTAAGTTGTGGTTTGGAGGAATATATGGGGAAAATTATTTGGTTTATTATTATTGGTAAATATAATTAATTGATTTGTAAGAAATTGGATTGCATGGAAATAATTGGAATATTCATGTTCATATTGATTAATATACAAAAAAGGTAGTTATATAACTAATTGATTTATATTAAAATGTTGAATTTATATTAAACAACTGTAATATTACATAAGTAACCAATGTGAGGATGGATATAAAAATAGATGACAATGGGAAGGGGTATAATATAGAATAGAAGGGAAAAATTGAATTTGATTAAGATTAGAGGTGAAGATGAAGGGTAATATTGGTTTTTTACAAAAATAGATGAGGAATAAATATGGCAAAAAGGAAATATAGAAATTGTAAATTTAATTGAAATGACTAAACACTGTTTAAATTTGTGAACCGGCCAAATACTCTGTTCAAAGAAAATACATTGTATGTTTGTATGTGTGTTTCTAATTATTGTTATTTATTCATATTTGTTCTCTTTTATTCTTTAAAGTTTAACAATTCATTCTTTATCTTAATATCTTTATATTTGTTTGGGGTTGGCTTTCTTCCCTTTCATCTTTTTTATTGTACAGCAAACTTTCTTCTCAAACCTACCACCTCTCTCTTTTCTTTCCTTCTTACTTTCTCTTCCTCCCCTTCTTCTTCTCCTCCCTACTTCCTCTTCCTTTCTCCTTCTCCTCCTCTCTTCCTCCCTCTCTTACCCTCACTCCTACTCTAATTTCCCTTCCCTTCCTTCATCCCTCTCTATTGCTGTATCCTTTTATGCATATGGACTACTCAGAGGGCTGAAAAAATTATTTCTGACTGGTCCTCGCACTTTTAACCAGTCCTCAAATTTACGACTGTCCTCACATTTTGTTTTTGTCCTATCTTGTCACCATGGTGAAGAGAAGCTGTTGAGAAATGAGTGACACGGTTGTTAAGAATGCTACAATGGGCATAAATGATGACCAGTCATAAGTGCGAAGACCGGTCAAAAGTGCGAGGACCAGTCAGAAATCACTTTTTTCAGCCCTCTGGGTAGTCCTTTTGTGCATATGGACTACTCAGAGGGCTGAAAAAGTTATTTTTGACTGGTCCTCACACTTTTGACCAGTCCTCGAACTTACGACTGTCCTCACATTTTACGTTTTTGCCCTATCTTGTCACCATAATGAAGAGAAGCAGTTGTGAAATGAGTGACACGGTTGTTAAGAATGCCGCAATGGGCATAAATGTGAGGATGGTCATAAGTGCGAGGACCGGTCAAAAGTGCGAGGACCAATAAGAAATGACTTTTTTCAGCCCTCTGTAGTCCCTATGCAGATAGCCACGCCCACCGGTCACATGACTAGCTAGCCACGCCCACCCGGTCACATGACCAGCCGGCCATGCCCACCCGGTCACATGACCACCAAGCCACACCCCCAACTAAGCCACGCCCACAGAACCGGTTGTTAAAAAAATTGAATCCCACCACTGCCTGGGGTCATAAAATGCCCAGGTCTAATCCATATGGTTGCTAGGAGTAAAAAAATGACTTGATTGCATATACTCAATAAAATAAGATAGTCAATAATTTTGAAGTGTGGAGGTGGATTACATAGTGCTTTAAGCCAATCATATCGTTTTTTTACTAGAAAGTTTTTGTAAGATGGTCATATTGGAAGTGGAAAATGGAAAATCTTCCAAAAGGTTTAGCAGTTGGATAATAAGGAATAAATTGTGGCAAGCTTAGATTTATCAAGGTTCATATATCAACTATGCACATATTTTACTGCTTAGTCATATCTTTGTATCTTTTTAGCCATTATTGTAATGGTACTGATAATTCCTAGGATGAAACTATTAGGTAAATTTAGACATCCATGACTCAAATAGTGAGAATGTGATGTTCATAGAGAATTTTAGAAATCTAACTTAGATGTTTTGCTACTTCCATATCTTTCTTGTTTCAGTAAAATCTTAACACAAGAAACACAAGTCATGCTTTATTTCTTTTTTATTAAAAGCTTCATCAAAGAAAAGACAGGTTTAATTCTTACATCCACTGATCTACACAAAACCCCAGGAATGGGGAAAACGGCAGCTATAAGGATTACAATACAAATTAACAAAAAAGGCAGAGGAAAAAAGCAATCTTCTGCAATATAGAACTTTTAATGACATTATGAAACATTACCACAAATATACCCTTGATTTTTACAAGTTAGAATTTACAAGTTAGAACCTTACATCTTAGGACCTAGGAAATTTACAAAGACCACCTCCCTTTACCCCTACCTAGAAAATTTATCTAATTTCAAAGTCCTAGTTTCTTGAGCTGGTTTCATTTTAACCAAAAGGAAACTTTTAAATTCAAAATTAAAATATTAAATATTTATATGAAATATTGGAATAATTCTTTTTCTTCCATAAGAATCATATAAATAAAATTAACTATTACTTGGTGGGAAGTATGATTTCAGTATGATCTGATAAAATTCTGTCAGATTTCAATCTAAAATGAGCAATGAATAGGATTGCAATCCTCGTTCTAAGACCAATATAGAAATCCCATTTGTTGTAGCAAACTATAACCTGATTTAGCTTCTGCTTTGTTTTTGCCTATCAACTGAACAATTCATTTAGAACACCAATCAGTAGTTTATTACAGATAAGTTAAGGCCTAGTCATCACACAGTTGAGTGAATATTTTTATTTTACAAGGAATTATTGCTTCTGATGTTCAGATAATAAGATTTGTCAGGAATAGAGGCTTCTAGGGTTGTACCCTTCCACTTGGCTCAATTAAAAGATATTTTTATGAAGCTATCCCTTGAGTAATTTTGTCATTTGTTGAAATCATATGTGTATCATGTTGGCTCTTCTTTCTGTTGCAGAAATATCTGAAGTTGGTATCTTTTGTTCTTATTTGTCCTTTAAAGACAAGCACTGAAATCCTTATGTCTTCGTTAGCTTTCAAAAGAAGAAGGTGCTATGCAATTGCGAGTAATAGTGGATCATTCACAGCTCCTAACAAATGATCATTATGGTGAAAGAACCTCTGATGTAATAACTATCAAAATAGAAATCCATTTACGTAAGCACCGGCATTTTAATCTCCATAGAAGTAAACCTGACATTCACTTTACACTATTTGTTGTATGTTCCATTTATTTAATTATAAGCACAGAACATGTTAGTAAATGTTAAAATACTGTTTATTTTCTGAAATCTGAGGTATGAAGATGAATTTAAAGTTGAAATCCACTTTTGATAATGTAACTATACTAGGTGGAAGAATGATTTCCCCAAAGGATTAAAAGTTCCTTCCCGCTTTCTTTGTATCCTTGGCTGATTCCTAAAATCCACTTCCTAAAGAATAGAATGATCCAGGGAATCCTCAGATTATAGTGAAAAAAAAATTAAGACAGAAGTAGGATGGCACAATAAAAGTTTTGCCTGTTTTTTATGTGTTGCATATATATCATGCATACAAAAAGCAGAGCTGGGATCGTATTGTTATGGTGGAGCTGATATCTTGTCTTTTTTGACCAGATCTTAGAAACAGCCTTATAATCATGCATTATTGATCTTCATTTTGCCAAGTATGCGTCTGTGTTAAAAACAATTGTGTACTTATAAATATGTATCAATCAACAATGCCAGTACAATGCCAGTACAGAATAACAAAGTTGGGAGGGATCTTGGAAGTCTTTTGGTACAACTCTCTGCTGAAGCAGGAAACCTTATAACATTTTGGACAAGTGGTTGTCCAATCTCTTCTTAAAAACCTCCAGTGTTGGAACACCACAATTTCTGGAGACAAGTCGTTCTACTAATTGCTCTGTCAGGAAATTTCTTAATTCTAGGTTGTTTCTTTCCTTGATTAGTTTCCATCCATTGCTTCTTGTCCTGCTTCAGATGCTTTGAAGAATAGGTTAGCCCCCTCTTCTTTGTGGCAGCCCCTTAGTTATTGGAATACTGCTGTCATGTCATCCTTGGTCCTTCTTTTCATTAAACTACACATCCAATTCCTACAACCATTCATCATATGTTTTAGCCTCGAGTTCCACAATCATCTTTCTTGCGTTCCTCTGCACTCTTTCTATAGTAGGGTACCTTGGAATACCTACTGCATATTTCCCTCCATGTAGATGCAGTTCTATTAAGGACTACACATTAAGTCCGGTTGGACAGCCAGTTATGAATTCATCGGGTGATAATGCTGTCTAACCTACATTTTTCTATCTTATCAAGTAATAGGTTATAGTCTGTTTTATCAAATACCTTACTGAAGTCCAACATCTTTTTTATATTGTGGTAACCAAAACTGGATGCAATATTCCAAGGGTGGTCTTACCAAGGCATTATAAAATGATACCAGCAGTTCGCATATTTGCATGATGTTGATTTTCTATTAATACAGCCTAGGACTGAGTTGGCTTTTTTGGCAGTGTACCACACAGCAGCTCATATTTAAGTGATTATCCGTTAGGACTCCAAGAACCTTCTTGCAGTTACTACTATTGAGTCAGGTATCACCTATTCTGTACTTGTGCATTTAGTTTTTCATGTAGGACCTTATGTTTGTCACCACTGAATTTCATTTTGTTAGGCAAGGTCCAATGTTCCAGTCTGTCGCGATCCTTCTGTATCTTGAGTCTGTCTTCTGGAGCGTTGGCTATTCCTGCCAGTTTGGTGTCATCTGCAAATTTGATGGGTTCCCTTGTTTAAATCATTGATGAAGATATTGAAGAGAACTGGCCTAAAACAGAACGTTGGGTACCCTACTGCATACTTCCCTCCATGTAAACGCAGTTCCATTAAGGACTATTTGTTGAGTCCAATTGGTCAGCCAGTTATGAATCCATGGTGATGATGCTGTCTTATTGACATTTTTCTATCTTAAGTAATAGGTTGTGGTCTGTTTTATCAAATACCTTACTGAAGTTCAAGTAAATTATATCCACAGTATTTCTCTGGTCCATTAATTTTGTCATATTTTCAATGAATACAATAAGATTTCTTTAGCATGATCTGTTTTTGACAAACCTATATTGGCTTGTGGTTATGACTTTGTTTGCCTGTAGGTGTTTGCAGATTCATTACTTATCTTTTTCAGAATCTTTCCAAATATTGATGTCAGGATGATAGGTCTGTAGTTTCTTGGATCTATTTCCTTTTTTGAAGATGGGAATTACATCAGCCATTTTCCAGTCATTTGTAGTTACCCAGTGGTCTAGGATCTTTGAAAGACATAGTTCACTTGTTCTGAGATCACGTCTTCCAGTTCCTTCAGAACCTTGGGGTGTAATCCACCTGATCCTGATGATTTGAATTCATCTAGACTGGATAGGTATTCTCTTACCATTCCCTTGCTTATTTTCACTTGCAAAATTCAGAACTTTTTTGATGAGTTGTTTTTCTTTTGTGTAAAGATGGATGAAAAAAAAGGAGTTAAGCAGTTCTATTTTCTCTCTGCTGATTGTCACCTTCTTGCCATTTTCTCCATTCACTGCCAAAAAGCTGACTTGGTGGTAGCTCAATTCTGCTGTCAATCAGCCACAAAATTCTTGATTGTTTAACAATGGGCTCTCAGGAGAGGTGAAAGCCAACTCTAACACACCATTTGTTGCATGCATGATGATGTTATGCTTTATTTAAAATGAAATCATCTAATTGTTTAGAAAAGTTTGATAACATAAAAAAGAGTTTTCAGAAATATGTGCTGGGCTTTCCTTTACAGTTACAGAATACTGATTGAATATTCTTAGCCTATTCAAAAGAAACAAAGAACCTTTATCCCTTTGTATATCAAAAGCAATTTCATATTAAATAAAGCATTGAGATAAAAAGTTGACTGTGTATCAAATACAATTATCTTAGATCCCAAATTTGGTTTTATCATTATGAGGTTGATTCATTGTGTGAAGCCCATTAGCCTACCTTTCAGAAGACTTTTATTAGATAGATAATAAGTGATGTAATTTAAACCTCTTCCACTCACATTAGTCTCAGCTAATTAAGAGAACAAGGCTGATAATGCTATCTTCAGGCTTCAAGTTACAAATCAAGGCAACTTTCTATGCATTTCATATCATTTCTTCAATACCATAGGCAAGATAATTTAGATCAAAATACTGTGACATATTAAAAATAAATTTTATTACTACATTGCAGGCATTCTTAAGTCTGCTGGGTTTGATAGACAAACTTACAAAGACATCCTTCATTATTCTGAATAATGTCAAATGAATTTAAATATTTAACCTTGCTGTAGGAATCACTTATTTGCTTAATCAACAGTTTTATGAACGCAATTGTAGCAGAAAATACTACAACATGGTGGATTAATTCCAAAGAACCCACACACATACTTCAGAACAAACAGCTGCAATGACACTAATAGGGCAGTCTAACCTTGCAAATCTACTAATTTGGACAAGGTTTTGACAGAAAAAGACAGAAAAAGAGAAAATGTTGACCAGCTGGAGGGGAAAACATTTTTTAAAAATTCTGTGAATGGTTGGCTCCAAATAGGAGGTTCATGGATAAAGTGGAAGTCAAACTGCAAATTCAAAAGCCTTTCTTTTGCAGCAAGAGTACCCTCTGTTGATTGCTCAGCTATGTGAGCTGGGAATTAATGAAATCCTTGAAAAAAAATCAGCTAGCGAAATCACATGAAAGAAATCCCCAGTCTTACATGGATGGCACACACTGTCAAGGCTTTATATGTGGTGGATCATGTGACAGTATACCTGGTCATTCCTACTTGTCATTCTCCCCTTGCCTCTTGGAAAAAGTAGAACCTTGTAATCAGGAATGTAGCAAGGAAAGCATATTCAGAAGAAATTTAAACATCCTCAATATTGTTGAAGATTGTCAAAAATGTTTTTCTTTACATACAATATATGTATCTAGTATGTGTGTATGCATATATGTGTGTGCATCATATACATATGTATATGTATGTGTGTGTGTGTGCATCATATACATATGCATATATATGTACATATGCATAGACATAGACACAAATATATGCTTTCTTGTTCCAATACTTGGATTAAATGCACATTAATTAAAAAGATCTGAGGAAAAGCTTTCCAAATCCTGGTGATATTGAAATCTAGCCTAGGTTTATACCATTATTGCAATGGTATATTAGTTTTCCAAATCCCATATTTTAGTAGTCCAGCTCTGGGCTGTCTTATAAACGACTGGGTAACCATCATCATATTATGTCAAAACCAGTAATCCCATCTCAGAAGTTAATGAAGCTGAGGAGGGGGCTAGCAAAGGAAGGTAAACTGTGGTTATCCAGAAAGCCTACTATATTCCTCTGCACAAGTAGAAGTTTTGTCTGCATTGCTATTTTGTGTCATTACTGATATCAGGATTGGAATATTAAAACTTTCAAAAACTAGAGGTGTACAACCCAAAATATCTTTCTATATGATATCAGACAAGGAAAATATGATCATCTGGGCAAAGAAGCATAAGGAATTAACTTATGATTCCATAAATTATATTCATGGAATGAAACAAGGCCATTTAGATGCCCAGTATAATTTTTAGTGGTTTTAGCACTGTGAGAAATAATAAAATGCTTTAGGAAATTGTCCTTTTCCAAGGTGGTATGGGTTAAAAATACAAGATACATTCACTGAGCAGAGATTGCAGATTACATTGTGAAATAAATTTATATAGATATATGGTTGATGCAAGATCTGCAATCTCCATGTGCTTTTGGACCTTAGACTTATCTTTTCTCCTCTAAATGTACATTGCTATTGAGTTCTGGAACATTCCGATCTTCTCTAGATTGTGGCATCACATAAAGAGATGTATGGCTGAGAAAGAAGGGAGAATTCTAAGGTCTTATTAAATGAATCAAATGTCTTTTGATTTTTGAAAAGTTAGATCTGTCAATCTAAAGTTAGAATGATTATCTCCTATCATAAGAAACTCTCCTTATATTTTATTCCATGTTGGGGTCAGATTTGGAGTATATACCGACTTTTCCTAGGAGATGAAAAATAATTTCTCCATCGATGTCATTGACATCATATAGTTAATATAATCAGATTGATACATCAGTGTCATACATCTTGTAAACATTGAACCCAAGTTATATAGCTTCTTTAACGCTGTAATAAAGTCTGTTGGGTATAAATGGCCAAAAGGATTGATAAAATTAAATTTGAAATCAAGGATTAGCTTTTGATTTTCTTTAGGCCTCTTCAAATTTAGATTACAGCAGTTTGGCTCAAACATAGTCTCTAGACTATCAGTTATTAACTTGGTGATGCATCAAAGGGGAATCTATTAAACAGCAACTTATTGGAAGAATATGTCACTTTTCCTCCTCCATTTGTAATGGCCAGGTAGATAAAGTACTTAGCTGACTTTGACTCATTTTAGAAAGGTAAGAAGGAACAATCCTGATTTAGTACTTGGATAGAATCCACCAAGAAATACAATGATATAGACAAGACTGGGAAGTAAAACAAAAGTAATAATAATTCAGAAGAAGGCATATTATGTCCCTCATTAAAGAAAACATAAAGATGTGTCACTAAGAGTCACACTTGATTCAAGAGACTTTACCCTTTTCATTTATTTGCAAAATGGTAGAATTGCTAGGATGCCACAGGATTAAAACATATAAAATTCTCAGACACTTCAGGTGATAATGATGAACTAATGATTACCAGTAAGGAGGAAGAGGAAGATGCCTGACTTAATGAAAAATCCTACACTGAGTTTTGAACCTGATTGGGGAAATAGACCCAAAGAAAATGACCCAAAGTGTAAAGAAAACAGCAGAGGGCTGATCCAAAACAAAAAGATATCTCAGCCATATTCATCTGCCACACGGTAGCTACCTTACAGCCTCATTGTCAACAGTAATGAGACTATTCTTTGCACCAAAATAGAATTCACAAGACAATTAAAAAACAAACAAGCAAACCCACAACACATGCTTCTTTCATATTAAAACAGAATTGTGCCACAGGAGAATAAGTTCTATATTTACACACACAGAGAGAGGGAGGGAGGGAACAGGGAAGGAGAGGGAGGGAGGGAGGGAGGGAGAGAGAGAGAGAATAAAAAGGAAGAAAACCAGGCTGGCTTGATCGTTTTTCTCATACCCCTTTCAATAGGCACACCTATTCCAAATGAAAACAAGGGGGAAAAAATCAAGGGATGTTTATAGAAAGTAACAGCATTGGCAAAGCTGTGAAAAAAGCTGTGAAAAAAGGAAGCTAGAGGTCCTTACTAATATATTACTATTATTTTCTCTGTGTGGCCCTATGTGGTTACTAAAAACTACATGAACTTGAAATAACCAGGTTCTTTTCATTATGCCAGCCAGGAGACAACCTGTTTCCCTTTTTCTTTTTCTTTTTCTTTTTAATGTTCGCATTGAGCAGCCATTTTGGGAGGGTTATCCAACACCCAACCCCATCAAACACAAAATATTACATTAAAAATAAGGAACTGTTTTTAGAATTTTTAAAAAAATACTCAATTTCTTTAAAAAACATCGTTTAAAGGTAACCATGGATTCCGTGCACAATAATGCTCCTGCTAAAACCTTGTGTTATTTCACTAGGCTCATGTAGGAGTCATATTTAGTTGTTTATGTCCTTGATATTAAAACTGGGTAAGTTGAATCTCTTTGATTCCCCTTCCTTCCCCCCCAAAAAATGTTTCATTATTTTTACAACATTTTGCTTTCATTTTTCAATATGATTACCCTGTTTTTTAATACATCACAGTCACTGCACTGAAGTCTATTTTTTTTCCTAAAGAAGGATCATTTTAAATGCTTCATCTTCTCAAAAAGATACATTGTACTTCTTTATCCCATTCATAAATACCAGTTCTAATTTGAGGACAATTATAAAATGTTTTCTCCATAGACTGTTGGGGAAAAAAGTTCTTCAACCACTATGAATGGGAGATGGAATTTTCCTGGATCCTTCATATATTACTAGATTGCATATATTCTTTTATCTTTTAAAAAATAAGTTTGCACTGATTCAACCTAGTCATTCTTGTCTTTTACCTAATTAAACTAATCACTGATTGTCAGTAAACATATGAAGACAACAGAAATCCATTTAATAAAAAGTGATTGTTAATTTCATGTTTGCATGAAAATTAACACAAACCATTTTAAACTTTTATCTTAGTTGGGACAATTTAAACAAATTAACCATTTTCAGTGGCCTCTTCCAAGTGATTCAAATATCATCCAGACGATGATCATGGATGGTTCACAGCACTGAAAACCAATACAGGGAAAGAGGAGGCAAAAGAAAAAAGAAAAAGCCCACGGGATGATATAAGGAAGGAAGACTCCTGTTGCAGTAAAAAAGAAAAAAAACACAGAAAAGGTAAAACTGGCAACTGAAATCTTCCTCGTATTCTGCTAAGTGTTCTTAAGTACCAACTAATCAGGATTTTTGATTAGAATCCCAAGTTCATAGAATGTAAAATACCAGTGGAAGAAAGTTTAAACAATACACAAAGATAACAACTGGACCGGCCATATTAGTCAAACAAAGATTTTTTTAGAAAGAAATAAGAAAAAAATAAAATAAAACAAAACCCTTTTATCTTCTTAACTGTGGTAGGGTGTTATTTCATCTTTGGTATAAAACAGGCCATCCATAGGCTGCATTTGATCACAACTAGGAAAGACCACAGAAATTGTCACCAATTTCTTCTAGCTATTGCTTTTTTGCACTTTTTTGACCATAAGCTCCTATCTAAGATTTTCCCCCAATGCTTTTAAGCTAGGTGTTTGCAACGTGACAAGCAAAGCAGGCTAAAAACTTTTTAAAGCTCATAAAAAAAAGACTGCAGATAAAAAGCTCTAATGCTCTGGCCAACAAACACATTTTGTAAATTAAAAAAAAAAAACCCTGAACCCTCCCTACCAATTCTTTAAAATGCAAGTTGACCTCCCTCTCAAATAATTTTATTATAAAACACTTTAGCCTTTTAGATTCTTCTTGGTCAACACTAAGAAAGTTCATAAAAGTCTTCATTTTTTTTCAAATCTTGAAGTTGTCATAGTTCCTTTATCAACAGTTTTTGTTTAATATTTTCTTTTTAGTACAGTTTTTATTTTGTTGTTGTTTGTTAACCCTAAAAATTCAGTCTGTTGAACTTCAGCACCAGTTGATCCAGGTGTAGATACATTGGAATCCATTTACTTTTCTTCTACCAAAACGTTAACAGCGTGCCTTGAAAGCCTTCGACTTCCTTAAAATTAAGGCAATTAAGATTCAATATAAATCTTACCTAAACATTTCTTTTAAAAAAACCAAACACATATGCACACAAACTCAAAAGGAAAGACACCGTTGATTTCAAGAAGGGGAAAGAATTAGCTGAATTCTTGAGGAAGACCACTGGTTTCCATCTCAGCTTTCTCTCTCTTATTATCATCGTTCTTTTTTGGGAAACCAAACCAAACCAAACCAAACCAAACCAAACCAAACCAAACCAAACCAAACCAAACCAAACCAAACCAAACCAAACCAAACAAAACAAAACAAAACAAAACAAAACAAAACCAAATGAACAAAACAAAACAAACAAAAAGTATAAATGTACAGTTCCAAGTAGTAAATTCTGAATTTCAAATGTTCATTCAGATAAAATATTAACCCACTATTTTGCCATGTTTTCCCCTTTAACTAAAAAAATTAGCAAAAATAAAACTATCAGACTATATGATCAAACAATTTGCACAGCACATAGAAACACTCTTGCTGGGTAAAATAGAAAATGAAAAAAAAAATGTTGCCGCCTGTGCAAACGGGAAGCCAACTTCTTGTTCAATGAAGTTTTTTCATTCAAGGCAAACTTTGCTGACTGACATTTTTCAGGTCTGTTCATTGTCTGTAAAACAATGAATTAAAACATTCATTAAGTAAAAAGAGCCGTCTTTTAAAAATCTTCTGTCTTTTAAATTCTTTTGAAGCTAAATTTCCTTAGCCTAGAGAGAATGAATTATAAGCATAAATTCAATTATTTGTAATTTTCTTTAAATTGGTTTGAAGGTCACACTCAATGAAGAACGTGTGGTTTTCTCATGGATTGTTTGGATTTCAGTAATTTTTGAAATATTGCAAAAATGTAGCACATCATGGGGTAGCATAATTTGAAAGAATATTTAGGATGAAATTAACATCATTGTTGGCAGCTGCTAACATAATTCCAAAACATCCTGACAAATTAAAAATGCCAGGTGTTAATCTCAAAGAACTGGTAGGAACCCATGAATGCCCATCCCCTGAAATGTTGTTCATTCCCTGAACAACAAATATATCTGCCTCTTGTACCTCTAAATAAGTTAAACTTGTACTCTACTGAAATTTTGCTTTGGCAATATATATAGCTCTGAATTCTACTCAAGAATTTTTTTTAAAGTCTTAAAGTCTACCTGGATTACTTGAAGGAGCTCTTGAGCCATGTCATGGTCAAAGTAGATTTCCTGATGTCAAATGGCTATACTACAATATTTATTTGGGGAATACTATAGCATTGTGAAGGAACTGCTAGTAAGATGCAACTTAAATTTTAAAAAATGCCTAGGAATTCCAAATATTAGTATTTCTGTAATTCAGTCAATTCCTTTGAATCCAACTAAATGGAAGTACCAAGTCAATGTTGGCTGATCTCAAAAGCTAAGCAAGCTTCGACTTAAGTACATGGATAGGAGAAGACTGGGAAATTGCAATGCTTTAAGATAGACTTGAAAATTGGAAAAAAATTATTCCAGAAGACAATGGCAAAACACTTTTATACTATTGTAAAGAAAACTATGTGGAAACGTTCATGAAGTAACCAGGGTGGAGCTCAAATCAAGGGAGACTTTACCTTATTCATATCAGTGAGGTAACAGACTTCCCTTCCTCCAAGGAAACTTCCTGTTTTTGCATGAGGACTGTTTTGGTTTTATATTTTTCCAAGGAGAGACCATTCTTAGATCAGTGGTTCACATAGATATAAAGAGGTGGATACTTTGGAAGCTGGTTTCTATTGGATATAAAATTAAACACACCTCTGATTTTGATTTGAAAGAAAAGCAGGCTGCACATTTGACCGAAAAGTTTTAAAACTTTTTTGAAAGGATTTGTTAAAGATTTTTGCCTGCCCCATGATAGAAACAAAACTGTATATATGTTTTTTCATACATCTACAGCCATTTTGTCATTACATTTAGCATGTACACTGATGTAACAAGCACGTATTACTGAAGTACTAAGGGTTCAACACCTCTATCATGTATTTATCACTCAGTCTTAGAAGCCTGCATCAGTTCCCTTTAGCACAATCGGCACTGTTACTTTCAAGAAAGTCCCATCTAATTAGATGGCCTTAATATGTGAACAGGATTATAATTCTTTATATAAATTAAAATAGCAGCCATCCACTTTTTAATGTTGTTTGATGACAAACTTGAATTGTTTATCTGTGTATCTATATAGGCAGCAAAAAATACATGTAATTTATGTAACATAAAATAGAAAATAATTGAGCCTATCTTTCACATCAATTCATCAGTGTCAAAAATGGTTATGTGGATATTGATACTGTTAATGAATCTGGAATTGTGTTTAAGAAAAAAACTGATTTTAGTGGAATTAAAATCATCTTACTTTGACTGTTGGTATGAATATGCAGATGCATGTTCACTGGATGTTTCGACAGCCATCTGTTGCTGTTGACCACTGGATTCCTGTGATGAAGGTGCTACTGTCTGTGGAGAGGTATCAGCAACTACACCCTGAAGAACATAGAGCATCTTATAGTTTTGACTATGATCAGTAACTTATAGAATACAATAACCAGCACTTAACTAACTTCATTATTTAAAGGGCAGTTGTACCATTTTTTTTATTTTGTCAAGTCTCAGATATACCAAGAGTCATGGGTTGCTAAACTGTTTATTTAATCAAATTTATTGTCTTGGTTACAGTTACAACTCTTTTATTAGGACATCAATGTTATAAAGTTTTAAAGAAAAGCATACTATGGTGCCACTTTGCACCAGCTGCTGGAACAGCTTATCTTTATAATGAACCCTGATATACTCTAGACTGCTATCATTTAACAACAGTCTCATTTGGATCTCATCAAAAGAAAGTTAATTTATTTGTTTTTTCAGTGAAATCAGAACTAAACACTTCAACAGTAAGCAATAACAACAAATGAAGATGGAAAACAAGGAAAGTAAAGTTGTTTTCTAGTTAACTGTACACTGGCAGTGCAGGTAGTCCTCAACCTATGACCACAATTGAGTCCAAAATGTGTGTTGTTAAGAGAGACATTTGTTAAATAAGCTTTGCCTGATTTTACGATCTTTCTTGCCCCAGTTGTTAAATGAATCACTGTAGTTGATAAATTAGTAACCCGGTTGTAAATGAATCTGCTTACCTCTGACTTTGCTTGTCAGAAGGTTGCAAAAGGTGATCACATAACCTTGGGACAAGAAACAGTCATAAAGATGAAATAGTTGTCAAGCATCTGAATTTTGATCACATGATCATGGGGATGCTGCAAAGGTCGTAACTTTGAAAATGGTGATAAGTCACTTTTTTCAGTGCCATTGCAACTTTAAATAGTCACTAAATGAACTATTGTAAGTCAAGGACTACCTGTATGCCAAATCTATGACCATCTGCCATCTGGGAATTAAGTTCAGTATTTGTGCTTAGTGCAATAAATTTCTGGCACTTAGACCAAGTCCTTTTCCATGAAATCAAGTTAGTTAAGCTTGCAATAGCTAACAGACAAGTATAGAGATGAAATCTTTTCAAATGTGACAGCTTTGACCCATCCTCAGTCTATGAGCAACCTTGCTATTAAGAAGGAGGATCACTGGGTAACCTGATTCACTGAAAAGCTTAAAGAGATGAAAAATTGAAAAGATGCCTTGTTGGCAGAAAAATGAATGAATGAAACTGACACAGCTATGGTCTCACATTTGGGAGTAGACACAATTTATAAGAATAGTAAACTATTTCTGCTCTTGTTGCTTACATATATTCCTATCCAGGAACTCTGTTCAGAGTTACTTGAATCCTTCTTGAAAGGAATGAGTTGGAAGATTCCTCTGCTGTAACATATTATTGAGATTCACATATGTCCTGAGTTAAACACTATTCTGATAGATTGTAGTGAGATGCTTGAAGTGATGTCTTAAAAAGTAATCTGAGATTCTTTTTGAGATTACCTGTGGGCAGGTTGAGAAATGCCTCTTTTGTGAGTGCAGCTGGATTTAGAAGTGACAAATGTTTCTTTAATGATTGGGTACCAGTTTTCTGAACTGGTTGAGACTACTAGTGAAGTCATCAGCCAAGATGTAGACAGATGTAATCAATATGCAGGCAACACCAACTGTATATTTAGACCCTCAGTTGACCAAGTAATTCTACTGTGGTTCTGTTTTGATATCAAAAGACTCTTAGGATTTATAGAGAAAAGCTCTACTGTATAGCAAGCTGAGTGGCTGTGGTTTCATCAATACAGGTAGTCCTCAACTTACGACAATTGAACCCAAAATGTATATTGCCAAGTGAAACATTTGTTAAGTGAATTTTGTCCCATTTTATGACTTTTCTTGCAACTGTTATTAAGTGAATCATTGCAGTAGTTAAGTTAGTAATTCAGTTGTTAAGTGAATCTGGCTTCCCCATTGACTTTGCTTGTCAGAAGGTTGCAAAAAGTCGATCACATTATCCCAGGTCACGGCAACCATCATAAATATGAATCAGTTTCCAAGCATCTGAATTTTGATTATGACACCATGGGGATGCTGCAACAGTCATAAATGTGAAAAATGGTCATGTCTCTTTTTTCAGTGCCATTGTAACAGTCCCTAAATGAACTGTTGTAAGTCAAGGACTACCTTACTGTTTCTGCGAGACTTAACTATTTTAGTTGTATTTCACCAGCCAGAACTCAAATGTAATTTAGGATCTTTCTGGACTTACAGTTCTTACTCAAAAAGTAAGTGGCAATATTTACCTGAGTTGGTAATTTCTTGATTGGGGTAATGTTTAGGGCTTGATTATTGATCTGATATTAATTCTGGTGTTAATCTCTGTTTATCTGGGCATTGATTGCTGGTCAGAAGGTATTTTGGTCTTTTTCATTAGTTTTTAGCTTCTTGGTTGTCTCTTTTGAATGGTATGTTCATGGATGCACTCTTCTAGTCTTCCGCCTCCCTGTATATAGAGGCTGTTACAATCCTTACACTGTAGTTGTACATGACTCCTGTTTTTTCTTCTGAAGCTACTGGGTCTTTTGCTTTACTTAGGATATTTTGTAGGGCTTTAGTTGGTTTGTGTGCTATGCTGAAGCCATGTTGTTATAAGTCATTCTAACGCTACTAATAATACTAATATTGCTTTTATTGCAAGATTACAATAATAGAATCTTACAAGTTTATTTTTATTTAAATAAATTTAAACTGATAAAATATACTCAGAAATAATGAGTTAGTTTGAAATGTCTCTAATTAATTAAAAAAAATAATTTTCAGTGGGGGGGGTCTTTGGCCCCCACTGAAAGGGCTCGCAAACTGGGAGTCCTCCTGGATATACAGATGTCCTTGGAGGAACATCTGACGGCTGTAACCAGGGGGACCTTTTGTCAGGTTCGCCTGATTCGCCAGTTGCGGCCCTTTCTTGATCGGGATTCCTTGTGCACAGTCACTCACGCCCTCGTCACCTCTCACCTTGACTACTGCAACGCTCTCTACATGGGGCTCTCCTTGAAGAGCACCCGGAGGCTCCAACTGGTCCAGAATGCAGCAGCGCAGGTAGTGATGGGAGCACCATGGCGCTCCCATGTAACACTGCTCCTGCGCGAGCTGCACTGGCTCCCGGTGGTCTTCCGGGTGCACTTCAAGGTGTTGGTCATCACCTTTAAAGTGCTCCATGGCATAGGGCCTAGCTATCTGCGAGACCGCCTGCTGCTACCGATGACTTCCCATCGACCCGTGCGCTCCCACAGAGAGGGCCTCCTCAGGGTGCCATCAGCCAAACAATGTAGGCTGGTAACCCCCAGGGGGAGGGCCTTCTCTGTGGGGGCTCCTACCCTCTGGAATCAGTTGCCCCCTGAGATAAGGAGAATCCATGACCTCAGTGCTTTCCGTCGTGCCCTTAAAACCCATCTTTTCCAGCAAGCTGGGCTGGCTTAAGAAGAAATTTTTTAAATTCTTTTAATCGGTTTGTGATTTCTTAAATTCTGGGCCAAATTTATATATATTTTTAACTGTTTTTTAATATTTGTATTCTATGTTCTTATTTTGGCTGTACACCGCCCTGAGTCCTCAGGGAGAAGGGCGGTATATAAATTGGAAATTAAATTAAATTAAATTAAATCTAAAAGCCATAATGGCAGTTTAAATTCAGAGTGGGACAAAAGCATTTCTTCACAGATAATCTACGCCTGATCTAGGGAATTCACTAGCTCAGTGTGATGAATTGAACTGAACTTTGATAGAGAACAGGTCTTTCAGGGGATATTAGCTCAATATTAAGTCCAGATTGGAGTAATGCCAGGAGTGGGGGAACAACATAATGGGGAAAAACATCTTCTAATTATGATCACTACAGAAGCATCTGATTGGTTACACAAGAAACAAAATGTGGATTGAAATGGGTATTGGCCTAACTGGGAAAAGATGCTTTATGTTTTTCAAAAGAAAAGAAAAGAAAAAAGGAATGAGGTTTGTGGCACACAACATGTAATATCCATCTCATGTTTTGTATAGTAATGTAGAAACATTTTAAATCATATGTCTATATATAATACAATTGTAATATAGCATGTATACAATTTAACATTGCTAAGAATTTGACAAAATAACATGCTTATAGAATTAGTTTTCTAATATAACAGAATAAGAGAAGGGATCTTGGAGGTCTTCCAGTCCAACCTCCTTCTCAAGCAGGAGACCTATACTATTTCAGACATGCAGCTGTCCAGTCTCTTCTTAAAAGTCTCCAATGATGGAACACCCACAATTTCTGAAGGCAAGCCATTCCACTGGTTAATTGTTCTGTTAGGAAGTTTCTTCTTAATTCTAGGTTGCTTCTCTCTTTGATTAGGTTCCATCCATTATTTCTTGTCTTGCCTTCTGGTGCTTTGGAAACTAGGTTGGCCCCTTCTTCTTTGTGGCAGCTGTCAAATATTGGAACACTGCTATCATGTCACTTTTGTTCTCTAGATTAGACATATCTAATTCCTGCAACCATTCTTCATATGTTTTAATCTCCAGTCCCCTAATCATCTTTGTTGCTCTTTTCTGAACTCAACATCTTTTTTAAATATGGTGACCAAAATTGGATGCGCTATTGTAAGTATGGTCTTACTAACGCTTTATAAAGTAGTACTAATATTTCTATCTCTCTGTTAATGTTTTTTGGTTGCTGTCTCACACAGCTAGCTCATATTTAAGTGATTGTCCACTAGGATTCGAAGATCCTCTCAAGTCATTGCTATTGAGCCAGGTTTCACCTAATCTGTACCTATACATTTGGTTTTTCTTGCCTATGTGTAAAAACCTTATTTTTCTCTACATTGAATTTCATGTTGTTAGATAGAGCCCAGTGTTCAAGTATGTTGAGAGCCATCTGAACCTTAAGCCTATCTTCTGGGATGTTGGCTATTCCTGCCAGTTTAGTGTCATGTGCAAATTTGATGAGTTTCCCTTCCCTCATTTGAATTATTTATTAAGATGTTGAAGAGTACTGGAATAAAATGGAATCTTGTTTA